ATGTAAAGCTATTGCCATACACTGTCAAAAGTATGTCAATAGCTTTACATGAGCTTTACAATCATCTTTAACATCACAATTTATAAATGGTGAAGTATTTTACGGGATACTTCATATATCCATACCTACATTTATCATGTGTTCTATCTTGACATGTCATGAGTCTTGATACTGCTTGATGAGTGCCTCCCGTTATAAGCCTTTATGCGATGTTTTGCTTAGTTAATAATTTTTGTTAAAGTGTAATCTACTTGTGACTGTTACTATCAGTCAGTTTATTACCTTTCACTGCAATTATTAAGGACATTGATTTTTATGGTTGTGATTTGCTCTTCTTATTTTTTCTTATCATATTGAATATCTTTTCCTTTCACTACATGGCAATACAGGGGAGGCCTTGCAATGCTATGTGGCAAAATCATCATCAGCCTTACTATTTTACAAATCTTTGTAAAATCTCACAAATCTCAAAGAACCGTCTGGTTTCTGTGTTTTGAGAAAGTTCATATCATATGTCCTGTATATTCTGAAGTAAGGAATCAGATGTTTCTTCATTTTGGACTGAGAAATTGTAGCGCTGCTCAATAATTTGGTCTAACTGTAAAAGTAACTGAAGTAACTCGTTTCCTTCCGCTGATTAGTCGACCATAGTTGATTTAAACGCCAACGCGATGACACTAACGTTGCCAGACTGTAGATGCAATTTATTATATCTGCCATTTAAAATTACTGTATCATATTTGAGCTAAAATTTTCATACGTATACCAACATACATATATAAAAATGTCAATCTTGGTTCTTTCCCAATTGAACGAATCTGAGAACATCGTTTTGGTTTGCTTCAGTCCTTTGTAATAAAATACAGTACATACAATATCTTTGGCATATATATTGGCATATGTTGGTATTAGACTCGTTAAATAGAGTGTTTATGTGAAAATATCAAATTCTTTAAAAATGCTGAAAAAAAGGAAAAGCGGCCTGTCCACTGATGAAGAATACAAAACGTTAATGGTTGGAATATATGTATACTTCTCTCTTCAACCTTAAAGATGCTCTACAGTCGCACAATACATCTACAGTATGCCGCCATTTTAAACCATCCTATTGTTATTTGCCATCAATAATTTAACATTTTGATAATTATGAGTTACAAAACAAATTTTAACGTCATAATATAAATAGCTTTCAGTGAATGGTCTTACTGTACGACTTTCTATCATTTGATACTCTCAACACGTTCAGGTTGTTACTCACATAACTTGACACTAGGCACCTTGAAACAAGAGATTGGATGAAAGAATAACGCGACACTTGGATGATCTGCTAAGAGGGGTGCCTCCAAGGAGGACTATGGAAAACTGGCCCCTGTTTATGTGTTAGATACGTCGCACATAAAAAAATCCAAAAAACTCCACGTGGCCAGTCCGTTGGTGAGGCATATGAGTTAGAGCATTCCGTTCTAAACATTACTGTATTAATTTTTTTTATGGAAAAATCATTCATTTATAAGTAAGGTGTCTATCTAAAAGTTTAAAGCCCTGGTCACACTATGCGATTTCCAGCCGCGCAGGCGACTGCAACCGCGACGGCTGTTCCCGTTAACTAGTAATCCCCCCTCGAAAACCGGTGCGACTGCAATCGCAACTAGAAACAAAAAGTTTGTTTTACTCGCGACGATTGCAAACGCGCATCCAATCAACAAACGCCTTTGTGCCACGTCATACAGTGACAACATTGAAAATAGTTCATCATCATGGCGGATAGTCAGAGGATTAATACTTTTACAGAATCGAGATTGATCGAGCTTATTCAGGCTCACGAATACCTGTGGGATTTCAATTCTTCGTTTTATCGAAGATTTTATCTTTTCATGTATTTTCGCCAGCTCTATTAAAATAATCGCCTTTTTTCTTTTATTCATTCCAGAAAAGAACTACTTGCTATTTTAATAAGAAAAGTGGCTAAAATTCCGTAAATACTCTGAAGTAGAACGTAAAATATCGGCAAACTCACGAAAGTAGTCAAAAACAAGCTACTGTAATTTTATTGGTTTATTATAGAGTCACGTGTTTCCGAGTTGCAACGTCAACGAACAATGTGTGACCACGAGAAGACGCGCGCGACTCGCGCTTGTTGCAGTTGCAGTCGCCTGCGCGGCTAGAAATCGCATAGTGTGACCAGGGCTTAACTTATTTCCAGTTTTAACTACTAGTAATTACGAATAAACATTCGTAATTTGTAATTATGATCAGAAAATACCACAAATCGAGCTTCCGCTATTGCCTGTTTGCCGCAGCGACATAATTTACAACTAATACTAGCTCAGGGCAAAGCTAGCGATTTTCAATCGGTGTGCCGCGGAAATTTTTTAAGGTTATTAAATAAATTATTTTCGAAAGAAGTCTAAAGAACAATAAGTATGCATGTAGAAATTAAAACCTCTTTAAATTGATCATACGAGTTTTTCATTGTTATAATAAATAAATATATACATAATGTAGTAAAAATGTATATTCATAAGCAAAATTATATGTGCATAACACCGGGTTATTTCATTTAAAACGAAATTTTCTTTAAATCAAAAATGTATCTATAATTGTCCATATTTATTTCAACTTATTTTAACTTACAAGTTAGAAATAGCGGGACATTGGGCAGGTTTCTAAAGACAATTAATTATCATGCCTTTTTGGTTGGTTGGTTGGTTATTAAAGGTTTTTTGGCGCAAGGGCCACATAGGCCAGGCTGCGCCACCAAGCGTTTTTTAAATAAAAATTAAGACTTAATATTAATTGTTTTTCTTAGATTAGATATCTCATTAAATGTCCAATTATAATAAACCGAAAAATAAATAACATTTTTAATTATTATCTATTTATTAGAAATTATTTTGTGTCAATAAATAATTTACGAAAAATACAATCTTTCTTTTTACTCTTTTTTAAAGTTTGTTTGTTTTGTTAAGTTACGGCAACGCAACACTTAGGCGATCTGCCTAGAGGGTGCCTTCAGGGAGGTCTTTTTAAATTAATTAAGGGCAACTGGCGTTACAGACGTGGAGAAAACCCGGAAGATTCCATGTGGCCAACCTGTCTTGGCGAGGCGAGTGGCAACCCGTCCTGGCGACGAACTACCAGTGTTCAAGGAACGGAACCGTTAGTCACTGGTGGGCCGCATATTCTTGTACCATTTTATCCTTCACCTAACATAAAAATATAGCTTTAAATATTTAATGATTTGTATTTTAATCATCTTACACAACACAAATTAGACAAATAAACAATTGCAGAAATATTAACATAAATCAACTTCGTTAATCACAAAATTGGACGAATATAAAAGTAAAAATTAAACACATGCATAAGCTGCTATACTTAAGCAAAGCAGACAGGTCTCGTGCCGACGTCAATAACTTCGCATCTGGCTAAGATTGTATTATAGAATAGGAATCTGGCTATACTTTTAGTATATTAGTAATTTGGCGAATGGCTTGAAGGATCAACTCAAGACTAGCTTTTCATGGGCAAAAAAGCATGTAAACATGGAATTGCCTTCAACGTCGCAACCCTCTTGGTATCTAGTAAAACACATACAACAAGAAAAGACCGTTTCTCCCTCCACGGTAGAACATCCCAACCCGCTCCTATGACGATGCTTTTAAGCATCTGGGTGTGCCTACTGGTTTTTCCAGGTGCAACACAGCATCCTCAGTCATCGATCAAGTGCTCGACGAGATCAACAAGCTCGATGCCTCTAATCTTGCCCCCTGGCAAAAAATAGAGGCACTCAACACATTCATAATCCCTAAATTGACTTTTACTTTAACTCTAGGTACAACACCAAAGTCATCCCTAGATAAAATCGACAAGTGTTTCAAACGGGCCGTCAAGCGATGGATGAACTTTCCACAGCACGCCAGCGCCGAAGTTGTATACACAAGTTTACCACCATCAGTGGTCGGAGCCGTTGGGGCTACGACCATCAAAACGAAACAACTTTTCGCCGCCTCAAAATCAACATTAAGTACACTAGATTAATGAAAAAATTGATGGTGAGTGACCGTGTTAGGTTAGCAATGACATCTACCGTCAGCATCTCGCCAGCAGACGCTAATCACCTCTACTTATGGATCATGTAAACGCATACAACTTTGTAATTTGTATTCGCGATCTTTTGTATTTGCATCACTGGCAGGCACCGAAACTTAACCATTTGTAACTACGCGATTTAAAATTTACTGGCAACGCGCTCTTTTCCTGTTATCTAACATTGTAACCACGCAAACTTAACTGCAAGCATTGAGCCCATGTGGTAATGTGACAGTACTTTAATAACCTTTGTCACTCTGCATTATCTTGGTCTACAGGCCACTTTTGTCTTTTTCACTGTCTGTAAATACTTATAGTTTTATTCAACAAGAAAGGTTTTCATATCTGTCCTTGGGTCTAGACTTTAGAGTCTAGACGTTTGTCTTCCGGAGCGGTAGGCTGCCACCCTAACAGCTTGACCATCAGTCAGAGTTCTTTTTTTTTATTTTGCTCTATCCGCCTTTGCCCTGTGGGCCCTAAGAGGGCGTCTTTTTAGCAAGTCCATTATGGGTTCGACCAAACCCACAATGGGGCGTCCGGGTGGTGATGGACGGGGATCCGGATATGTCGGATCCCCGTCCATCACCACCCGGAACCCGGATATGTCGGAAAATTCCTCCGGAAAACCCGTCCGGAATCGATTCCGGGTCACCAGAGCGGTAGGCTGCCACCTTAACCGCTCGGCCATCCGGCCGTCAGCCACTAAGTTCAGATTCACAAGTTGCAGCTCAAGAAATTATCGTTCATTCTTAAAAAAAAAACAAAAAAAGTGACTTTATAGATAATAATCAAGCAAGTATAGTATACAGTATTTTATTTTACAAGTAAAATATAAAAATGAAGTACGAAATTAATAGAGAATTATATTTTTATTCGCTTATAGGCACAGATTTAAATATGTGCTTAGAGGGCACCACTAAAATGTCTCATCTAGCGTCCTCTATAAACAAGTCAAAATTTAGATCACATTATTTTATAATGTAATGATTAAGCAAGGTGGCAAGAATATTTTTTTAAAAATTCACTACTGTAGATACATATACTTAAATTTGTTATCGAAAGATTAAATCGTGTCAATAAACGATTTAATCTTTCGATAAAAAAGAACACATGATTGAAAGATAAAATCGATGCTACATTCTAGTGGTTGAGACGAGAATATATATCGAATAAAGGAGGAAATATAACGTTAAAAATCTAGAACAAGTTATCCGTAATTAGTTATCAACAAAGGAAATAAAACTGCAAAGTACAGCAATGGCTCTACGAGGTATCAAAGTCATCGAATTAGCAGGATTAGCACCCGCTCCCTTCTGTGGAATGATCCTCAGCGATTTTGGAGCATCCGTTATTAGAGTTGACAAAGTAAATTTTATAACTTATCTGGTTAATAATAGCAGAATTTTATTCCTAGAGATATGAGCTATTCAGCCGGTCATTTACGGCATATATTATTTTTGAAGTATTTTGTTATATTGGAGACGATAAGTCAATTAATATCTGGACACCTACTGTTATACAATCTATTTATAGAAACATTTTTGAAAAGTTCTTAAGTAAATAAATTTGAAGATGATCATATTGCATTGTGTTTTTAGAAAAATTTAGCCAAAAAAATAATTAACACAGCAGATGATGAGAGCTAAAAATGTCAGTAGGCCTGCCAGTGGCCAAGTGGTCTTTGTCCCTGAACACTGGGAGTTTGGTCATGGGTTTGCGCCTTGCTTGGATGGGCTGGCCAGGAGTTTTCCAGATTTTCTCCATGTCTGTAACGCCTGAATAGGGGCCCGTTTTCCTTAAAAGACCTCCCGGAATTATTTCCCCCATGCAGGTATGGCCATTCTGTCTATAAGGCCGGCTAATCGGATGCATGTGTCCATATTCTTCCATATTCTTGTTCTTGGAGTAAATAGCCTACATGAGCTGCACACTCCATATTAACCATTGTATAAAAGAAAAAGAAAAAAAATATCAGTGATGGTTATGTGAATGAGCCAATAAGATTAGTGTTGTTGATTGTAGACAGATCAAACATCATAAATTTTAAGAGTATTTAATATAGATGTCACATTGGTTATTAAAATATTGAATTTTTAGTTAAATATTGTAAACTGAGTTTTTAATTTTTCTATTATTTTAAATCTATAATAATAATATAAAAAATTTCTGAATTTTCTTTCATTTGAAAATGTTAGTTTTAAAATGAGATCATTTTCAAAGCATTTAATAGAAATTTTCATTTTCTCTGTATGAATCTTGAAGATGTTTTGAAAACAGATCGAAGCATTTATATAAAATTTTATCACTGGATTTTTAAGCAGTATATTTATATCTTTTCTAAATTGTACTATTTGAGTCTGTGGAATAATTACTATTCAGAAGCCATTTTTATTATTGTTTTAAAGTTAAATTTTATGAATTTTTAATCTACGAAATAACTGATTTAGATTGGAAATGAATTTAGAATGTTGTTGACCTGAGACAGATCTTGTGTAAGATTGGAAATGTTTGTTGTATTTTACATTAAAATTATTTACTGGATTGTAAAGGTTTTGCTTTACTGAATCTACAAATTTTTTCAAAGAAACCTCTTTATTCCAAGCATGAAACTGTCAATAACTTCAGGTGTCCTAGAAGTTATTGATGATCTATTTCTTTCATTTGAATAGATGTATCAGTTGCATTCACAACCCTTATGTTCCAGATGTAACAAATATAACAATAAATTCTTATTTTTAAAATCCTTATACTGAGTTTATAAAAATTTTAAAATATTGTATCTTTCAATTTAATTTGGTTTATTAAATAATTAGTTAAATTATCATCATTTTCAAATTATTTATATAGTAAAACTTGTGAGGAATGGAACTTCTCTAACTTGTAAGATGGAAACTTGTGAAAGCCAGAAAATTTTAGCTAGCATCACAGTAAAATTTTTTCTACAAAATAGCCTGTTTGATGTGGAATCTACAAACAAGCCAATGGAAAACATGCTATAAACTTTTAGCCTAATTAGAAAACCTGATTAAGCTGAAAGTTTATAGCATGCTATGAAGTTCTGGTTTTTACAGGTTTTACTGTATAAACTATGATATGTACATCCATAAATGTGTGTGTTGTATTTACTTATTTGTTGGTATTTTAATAGCCAAATTCTCCAGTTGTTAGTGATAAATTGTCTAGAGGAAAACAGTCTATTGTATTGGATCTTCGACAGAAAGATGGAGTTAAAATATTAGAACGGTTATGCAAAACTGCAGATGTCTTGTTAGAGCCATTTCGTAAAGGTAGGTTGTTATATACATAGAAAAACATCATTAATCATTAATACATTGTATGTAAGAATATAAATTCTAAGTGTTTTCTGATATGTATGTATTATTCTCTACACTATGTATTATGGCTCTATTAATTAAAAGGTATAAAAAATTAAAAGTTTATTTTTTTTAAATATCTTGATATTGATTTAAGAACATACAAAAATATTTTTGTATTGTTATTTAGTAATTAATAAATTTCCTTTTTATTAATTGAATTATAAAACAGTAAATAACTTTAATTTAATAAATATATGAAGCATATACAGGTAACCCCCGTATAACACGGTAGTTACGTTCCAAAAAATTGCCGTGTTATGCGAATCTGTGTTATACGAAACAAAGAACTAATACGAAAAGGAGGGTTAGGTTCCAAAAATTAAAAATCATGCTAGTATATTTTTATAATTAAGATAAATATCTTCATTAAAATTTTTTTAAGTGATACATATTAATATAAATTAAACAATGTTTTCTTCGTCATCACTAAAAACACTATTAATTAACCGAGAGCATTTTCTTTTTGGCAAGTTATCCTTATTTTCTGAGCATTTTTCTGCATTATCTTCAGATCCATGCTTTACCTTTTGCAAAAAGTGTAATTTTAGATTGCTTGCTTCTAGTTAAAAGGTCTTTATAAATTTCCTTATATGGTGCTAAGCACTTATGAAGAATAAAGCAAGTATGGAATAAGGGAAAAACATTCGGCAACATCAGAAGCAGAAGCGTCGCGATCTGGCAACATTGAAACAAGTTTCGAGAAGGACCACGTGTATCGACAGAAGATGAGAAGAGAAAATTTACATACTTAAGTCCTAATAATTTTCGTGAACTATTAGTACTTAAGTATGTAAAAATTTATTACATTTCCTGTTGTACGAGGGTTTTACCCAATTCTCAAACCGTGTCAGAGTGAATCCGTGCTATAAAAGTACCGTGTTTACGGGGGATGGTACCAATTCTCTAACCGTGTTAGAGTGAATCCGTGCTATAGAAGTACCGTGTTATACGGGGGTTACCTGTAGTTTCAAAAACAGCTAAGTCCATCTTTTAAAAACATTAACTAAGCATTTGATCTTATGTATTTTTTGCTTACTTCAGTGACGATTGTTATTTCTTAACTAGTAAAAAACAGAAAGAAGGGATAAAAAGGAGGAAAGTTGGAAGTTAGTTTCAAAATCAGTTGCATTCACAACCCTTATGTTCCAGACGCAGAAAAAATGGAGTTGACTGTTTTTGAAACTATATGCCTCATATATAAGTGCGCTTTCTAGTCCAGCAAAAATTACTTAAATGAACATTTTCAGGTTATCCTGGAAGAAAAGATTGATCTGGAGTGGGCATGAGCCTGTAACTTCTGCTTTCTGTACAAATGCATTAATTTGTCTGGAAGTGAAAATTGAACAGAGATCTATTGATAGGTAGCATAATTGATAACACACCTGTATGGTAAGCAGAGGTTGTTGTTCATGTCCCATTAAAGATCTTTCCTTTTGGAATAATTTAGATTAATTATTTAATTTTAAGGATTAAGTATAATACAAGATAGTAATTTAATCATCTGCCTTTACTTAATCAAAATTACTTAACATTTATACATTTTCATCTTAAATCAAAATAATTGTAAATACAAGGACAACCAAACTTCAATCCAGAATTTCATTAATTGTGAATGAACTGTACAGTACATGTTACATAGTTCTAATTTGTTTTTGTTTCCTAGATACTTCCCTTCCACACACTGATGCTTCTCCCATTGTTTTGACAATGATGGCATGCCTGAGAATAAAAGTATTTTGACTAGTGTCAAAGCATAACTCTGTGTCTGATGAAATCAATAGACTTGGTTAGGAAATTCTGGATCACCTTGCCTGCAATCCAGATCTGCCATCATTTGATTATCACAAATGTCTGGCCCTTTAAAGGAAGCCTTAGGAGAAGAGCCACTCTCTGAAGTTAAGAGAGTTCATCGTGTAGTGGTTCCAACACCAGTCAAAAAATCATACTTTTAATTGACACTGACACAAACATTGTATGTATTTACTCCAGCAGATAGCATTTAAACATTTTCGGCAGCATTGAGGAGCCTTCCTCAGGTAAAGAAGCTATTCCACAGATAGAACAAGGAAGAATATAATTAAAAAAAAAATTGGGACTATGTAACACACACAGTTCCATTGTCATTACTGAAATTCCAGACAGAAGTTGAACCACCCTTTTGGAATAAAAATAAACATTCAAAATAGATTAAGATGAGAATTTTTAAATTAATATGTGTAAATAAAGTTGCTATTATAATGTAAATTAAATATCCAATAATCCAAGATTATTAATAGTTTAACATAAAGTTAACACCAATAGCATGCCACATCAAACAAGATATAACTAACAGAATAACTAACTTTCAATATGTTTAACAGTTATATTGAAAAAATTTACAAAATTACACAAGAACTTTTGACAGTTTTCATATTTGTCATCTTCAGGCAAAAACATTTGAAATTCAAATGGTACTTTAAAAATCTAAAATAGTTGAGATCAAATACAACTCTAAAGCATTAAATGAGTTAAAATGATTCAGATACAATACTGTATAACTTAAAATAATTTCTAAACAAAATTTTTGTTATTTTGTTAAGTTACACTCTATTTTGATTTGTAAAGAAATCACTTGAGGAACTGGAGAAAGAACTGAAAGATAAAAATATCAACATCTTTGATATTTTATCTTAAAATTACTCTAGCAAGTGTTTCCAATGAACAAAAATGTTTTTGACCCAGTGGATAGATTGTCATCAGTTTTATAAAATATTCAACAGTAATCAAACACAAAATTTTAATTGAATAGAATTTGATTTAAATTTTTTATGTTCAATTCAAAATGCTTTTGTTCATTAAAAATACTTGCCAGAATAATTTTAATATGTTGGTTTTTTATCTTTTTATTTTGATTTGTATTTGAATTTTCTAATTTTGAAATATTTGCTGTACCAATAATTACTTACTTTTTTTTATGTAAGGCTTAAGCCTTAATGTAGAATTTAATGTAGCATCTACATCATAACTAATGTAAAATCAATATTTAATTCTAACAAACATCAAATCAGTGCTAAATCTTAGTGTAACTCAGTATTTATTCTATCCAATATGATAATAATTAAACAATGTAAAACCCAAAAAGTAAAATAGTTGATGAGTTCAAGAAAATTATATCATCGTAACTTCATATTAAATAACATAATAATCAATACCCTTACTAATTACATAAAAATATACTGTATATATAGTATAGTAATTTTACAGTGGTACCTCAGGATATGAACGCCCCAGCATACGAAATTTTCAGGAGACGACATGAAATTCGAACATATTTTTGCTCCACGATATGAACAAAAACTCACTATACGACGTTACATTAGTTTGCAGCGCCATTTTTTATTTACTTCTGTTCATCGGTCTCAGTCCGCGTGTTTGCTTTGTCATGGAAGGATCTCACTCGATAAAAGAAATCTTGAGGTATTATCAGAAAGTGACTGATTTTATTTAAAAGAAACATCCCAAAAAGGTTCACACTGGCCATATTGCTGCTCAGTTTAATGACATTTGCCTAAGTCATTTTAGAAACATTTTAAAAAGTAGGCAAAGCCAAATCTCTTTGGAGAGATATTTTACCAAGCGACCTCTATCCAGTGAAAGTACTGGTGGAAGTGAAGGAAAGAAAGCAAAAAGCAGTGAATAAAAATTTAAAAATATATATATAAAACAACACTAAATTTTTTTAATCTTTTCTAAGTTATTTTTAAGTTATTGTTACATTATGTTATGTAAGTTAAGTTTTAGTATCATTTCCCTTCTCCCTCTCCTCCACCACCAGTTTACACCTCCACCATCGTCTATCCTCAAAAGTAAAGTGCAAATAAAACTACATTTTTTTAAATCAATTATTATTCTATTATGGTTATTTATACATTTACAACTACAAAATGCATTTTTCAGTGTTTTCCTTACTACAGTTATTTTTTTTAATGTACAACTTAGCTTTAATTTGAGTGTGTTTTTAGTGTTGGAACGAATTATTTGGTTTTACATGTAATCGTATGGGAAAAAATGATTCACCTTACGACATTTTCATGATACGATCTCAGTTTCAGAACGGATTAATTTCGTATCCTGAGGTACCACTGTATATTATTAATTCCTGTGTAATTTTATTAATTTGTTTAATGTTAAACTATTACTCAGAAATGACAAACATCCTCTACATTTCAAATGGTGAATTGGTATTTACATTATCCCAGCAAGGAACAAAAATATGATGTCATTATCACTTTTATTTAAACCTTAGAATGTTTAAAGCTGCTTTTTATAAATAAACATCATTAGAGAATATAAAATATCAATAAGTAATCTTCAAATAAGAGTAAATCTAAATATTAATACTAAATACTAAATAGGCAAAGATTTATTTTAGTATTCTAACATTTTCAAAGCCATAATTTAAATATATACAGTGGAATCCCGGTTAACGAACGTCCTGGTTAACGACCAAATCGGTTAACGAACTATTATTTTGCAAAAATTTTGTCTCGGATAACGAACTTAACGGCTTTTTGTGTCAAATTTGTAAGCTTGCTGACTTTTAGGGAAAATCAGTTAATCGTGTGTCGGTGATGATCTAGGGTCCATTCGTACGTTGGTGGTGGCAGAGGAGACAAAGATGACAAGTATTTTACAGTGAAAATCGTTTATTAGAACGGGAAGATGCTTACATATTTGAGGTAGTTGGAAATGGCTTATCTACAGTATTTTCTCTCAGCACTGAGGAGTGGCGTATCGCTGGTCCTACGATAGTGCAAGCTGATCAGTCGTAGCCCCAGAGCAGACGAGATGGGTTCGCTTGGTTACAGAAGCGATGGTAGGTGACAGAGCTGCAACGACTGGAGCGGTCCGTGAGACACAACACAAATTTTAGCGGGCACGACTTCAGGCTTAATCCAGATGAAGACGACACAGATTAATCGCCATAGAATTTTTAGGAAAACTGCGTTTTGACCTTGAGATTCGGGGTTTTTATAGTATTTTTTCCTTGAATTATCTTATGATTAGTCCTGCGTCCCATTCATCGCTTCCCGATTGTTTACTTCTTTGTCTCCAGGTGAAAACCGAAACCAGATCAGGTCACGAGAAAGGTTTGTTCCGAGGAGTTATTTGACACCTGTTCGTCGACTCTGATCAGAGATTGTTGATAAACCTATAAGCCTTTCGCTCATAATTTAGCCTATTGTTTCTGCTATCTGTCATTTTAAAACTTTAACGATCGTGTGGGATGTTTTTATACCCGTCAAATCTTCCCCCTTATCCGAAAATTTAACCTAGATCGACTGTTTATGAGCACGTTTTCTTATATTTTCATTAAAGAAAACCCATTTTACAAATAAAATTACAAAAATACTGACGGCTAGAACGGATTAATTGTATTTGCATTAATTTCTATGGGAAAAATTGCTTCGGTTAACGAACAATTCGGTTAACGAACGGACTCGTGGAACGGATTACGTTCGTTAACCGGGGTTCCACTGTACACAGGATAAATATAATCTGTCCTCATGAGGAAGGCACCTCAAAGGAAAGAGGTGATGTCAAGTGGGAGAAACTCATTTTCAGAAATAAGAGTGTGTAAGACAAACAGGGTATTGCATATGAAGAGAATTCAAAAATTAATGACAACAGTAACACATTATTACATGTATATTGTTTTATTATGTTATTTCTGTTACAGACCTTTATGTGGATCACTTGGAAAGTTTTGTCCTCTAGGCTTACTTTTAATAGTCTTTCAAAATACTCTCCACCACACTCAATACATCTTGCCATATGTTGAAAATATCATCAAACCATTTCCATTTTTCTTCCGGAAAATCAGCACACTCTTGATCCCATACTGCTAGGTGCTTGTCATTGCTGGAAAAACACCTTCCTTTCATACAATTTTTTATTAGAAATAAGCCAAAGTCACAGATGACATTATCCTGCAAGTGATGATTTTCTGCAAAGCAACTTTGATCAGTTTTAGTGGATTACAGAGTAAAAATGATTACCCATGGAATCTAATTCTGTACACTTATAGTAGTTTCATCTGGTACAGTGTGGACAAGATTACACCTTCATTGTCATTACAATATTCAGGACTTTAGCATCTACAGGCTCTTGTTTAAATTTTCTTGGTCTCTGAGGATCATACATGCCACATGATTGTTGTTACTTCAGTTTGGTTTGATAGACTTGTGCATATATTACAGCTATGATTAAGATGTATCTTAGGGAAGCTACTCTTTCCCATTGATAATGCTCAAGATGTACTGTTATACTGTAGTCATATAGCATTGCTACTGACGTGTATCTGACAAAGTGTGGAACCGATGTCAATACAACTTTCCATTTACAAAGAATATCCCTTAGAATATACACACCTGTTTCCATAGAAACACCTATCTTTGCAGACAGTTTCTCATGTAACTATCTTTGGTCAACATCTAGTAAGGCCTTGGCTGCCTGCACATTGATTTTTTGATAGCACTGAGGGAATGACCAGCTCCTATTAAATGATGTTTCTCTCTGTTGCAAAATGCTTTTGCTCACTTGACTACAGTTTTATAGGTCAAGACTTTATTCTTGCAAGCTTCCTTTACTCTGGTATAAATCCTTGCCATACACCAATCATGCATTACCTGGATTTTTATAAAATTTCATCATTCCTGTTACTTAAATATTCCTCTGCAGTTTTTGTTGCTCTGTCAACTTTAGCAGATTCTAAGATTACTATAATTGCCTAATCAAATACCTATTGCAGGTAAACACACACCATGCAAACAACACAATCCTTTCCTAGTTTTTGATTTCTTTGGTAGAGGCATTTTGAGATTCGACTGTTGCCATTCATTTTAGGATATTCCTTGTAATTATTTCTAATTAAAGCACTGTTATTAATCAAAAAATTTAAATGAAATCTTACTATTAGATGATAAGTGTATTATAGTCTTTGATTACAAATACATGTTCATTGGCTAAATTGAAAATCTGTTTTCGCAATTTAAAACATACAGTATATACTTTATATTGATACATTATGATATGATTCAAATAAAATATTTTTATGAAAAATTTATTAATATGTGAATACCCAAGGGTTATGTAGAAGGAAAAATATAACTAAACAAGGGTATGGTCAATATACTTTTAATAAATAAAATAATACAAAGAAAACATTATACAGTAAATATCATTCTACAGAACTGTTCCAAGAAAATATCTTAGGACAATTAGAGTGGCCTTACAATGCTTATATCATTCTTAGGAAATTTTATGAAACAAAAAATCTTATTTGCATATCAGCTTCCAATCCCAACAAGTTTCCTCCAGCCAGACCCCATGACAATTTCAATATATTTTAAATGTTCAGAATAAAAAGTTGTTTGATCCAAAATTGATACAAACTTGAGATACAGTATATTTAAAAATAACATTTTATTATTTCTGAAGATTTATTAAAGATTTCTGAAATGATATATTACCATTTTGATACAGGTGTTATGGAAAAATTAGAGTTAGGACCAAGCAGATTACTCTCTTTGAATGAAAAATTGATTTATGCAAGATTAACTGGATTTGGTCAAAATGGGCCATTTTCTAAGATGGCTGGTCATGATATTAATTACATTGCACTTTCAGGTATGTTTACATAGTCCACATTAACTTTACAATGAATAAGTTTTATTCTTTCAATTAAAAATTTGATTTTATTAATATAAATTTTAAAAATATTATTAATTACAAATTGGTGATGAGTTAAGCTGTAAATTTTTGATTGTGATATGATTTGTGATTGCTACATTTTGATATTGGTGATTTAAAATATATTTTAAATATGATTTATTTAAATGACAGTGGGATTATTAAACTGTGTTAATAATCCCACTGTCATGAAATTTCTATGGAGAAAAAAATTCTACTTTCAAGCAGAATTTGATTAATAAAAGGGCAATTGAGAGAGTAACATTTATACATCAAGTGTGATATCTATGTTGTACACATATATTCTTGTGATATGCATGTTTCAAAGATAAATGTGACTACTTGGAAATCCTTGAAAGTTCAGACATCTAATTTCAGTTCACGGCAAGGAAGTCATAGACAACAAGAGTATTATTTATCTCTAATGCATTCTAGTAAATAAAACTGTCACTGGTAATTATTATTTGAATTGCAATTAAGTAAAGTATTAAATAAAATTTCAGTTTTGCTTTGAAATGTTTTTTACTTCAGTTTTAGTTTTGTTCCATTTAACTCCATTAAGTAGTGTATATTTGAATGTGAATTGGAATATTAAATGTTTATAAATCAGATTTAAATACTTGAGCCCACTTGAGAGAGTACCCTCGGGATTGCTGCATCATGCTCTCTTATCTGGACTTCTCCTTTATACAAAGTAACAAGACCACCCAGGGCATTGACATATTCAAATCTCTCCATCACTTCATGTCTTAGTTCTATATAACTTATAATGAGCTCAGAAGTATTCAAATCCATCACATAATTTTACTGTACTTATCAAATAACCAATAAATACACACATAAATAACCATAAGATTATTTTCACTTCTTCCCAGAAATATTGTTGTAGGCCTGGCTGAAAAGATGTGAACACCCTTAGCTCAAACTTTCTGAATGCTCTCTAAATCTTGGCACAAACTAGTTGATTCCATTGCTTTGACATGATATCAGAGGTGATTTTTATGGTCTATGGTCATGTGACTATTTTCCTTCAATGATCTGGTGATGTTGCTCCTTGTGATATCACTCATGACATAGTTCTAAAGAAGCAATGAACATTTCATCTATCCCTCTATGGCTTGCTACTGATATACAGTTAATATCTCTGGGATAGAGAGGAGATGGCAGGAATAGGGTATCGACAGGAAAATGTAGAGGAATGGTAGTTCGATGTCTGAACAGGAACGGCAAAAACTTCCTCAAATGATGGGAAATTGCTCTTTTTATATGCAAATTCCTCCAATCACAATCTGAGATCTGTATCATCTGACGGGATGAACTGGTGTGTCAAATGACCAGATGTTTGGGAAAAATCAAGATAAGCTTTAGTGAAAGGAAGTTTAGATTTCCCCTCTTGCCATAAAAGTGAAAAAGTGTCATCTTTTTGACAGGAAGTTGCCTTAATTTAATATTTTATTAAATCAAGTCAACAAAATATTAATAAAATAAAATATGATTTTTCATTTTAAATTATGGATGTAGGGTTATTTAATTTAAATATAATTAATTTCCATTATAAAAATATATTGCCTGTTTAGATTCTCACACATCTATGAAAATCTATCAAACAATTTTCTGTTCTGTTCCCAGCATAGCAAAGACATGGCTGAAATGTGACAAAGATCACAGCACAAAACATGTGCAAGACTTTTGTGACCTACAGCACATGTTCCTTTCTCACAAACTTTCAAATGTGTTTCAACTTCTCTGATCATTACTCAAAAATTTCAAGTTGGGTCTGAGAGTCAGGGAAGAGTATGACAGAGTGATGTTGAGCCAATAACCAGGCAATTGATGGATGATCTTACGATGATTGAATAAGTTTCATTTGACACTGCCTCCAGCCAGTTTACTGAAATATCTCATAGTTTGCACTGGACCAAATGTGACATACAGTAAAAAATAAATAAGTATAGTGCTGCAAGAATAAAGTTATTTTCTATCAAATTTTATTACAATAATTCAGGGCAATGGCTAGAGCATTTAGTACTAGGGGCTAACTTAAATATGGCACCTTTTGGATAAGCCTTTCATTAGTCTGTTACAAATTTAAAAAATCACTTTTTATTAATGTAATGCATATTATACTTCAATACAACAGAAAAAATATCAAAATATTGTTAAAAATAACAGCAATGATTATTTAGTTTCAGTTTCATTAAAAATATAGATGCATATAATTATAAATATAAAAATAATAGAACTATTTATTATTAACTGCTCTACTTTTCAGTGCTCTGTTAACAGAAGTCCTAATACACATAAAACATAGGGGAATATTGCGAACAAGGAAGAGTGCTATCTTATTAAGTCTGATGCTCTATTAAGTGGACTCAGCTCTCTAATTATAGACTTGCATTTATTTTTATTATTAATTATAATATATTCATTTTTATTATAATTATTAATTATAAATAAAAATGAATGCAAAATTTAAAATGAAACTTTTTATTATATGTTTTTGTTTATAATAATTTCATATTTAGGTGTTCTTTATATGATTGGCAGAAAAAATGAAAAACCATATCCTCCTATTAATTTACTGGCTGATTTTGCTGGAGGTGGAATGTTATGTGCTCTTGGAATATGTTTAGCAATAATAGAAAGAAATTCTTCAGGCAAGGGACAAGTGATTGATGCAAACATGGTTAATGAAATTTTTATTTGTTAACAAAATTACAATAAATCATAAAATGATTTCTTATAAAATCTGTATTTACTTTTTATATATGTTAAATAATTTTTAAAAATTAAGGTAGAAGGTTCTTCATATCTAAGCAGCTGGATATGGAAGACTCAAGATCCTTCATCTAATCTTCCAATTTGGGGAAATCCACCAGGGGAAAATTTGTTGGATGGAGGTGCTCCTTTTTATCAAACATACAGAACAAAAGATGGAAAATTTATGGCTGTTGGAGCAGTGGAAACACAGTTTTATAAAGAATTTTTGAAAGGTATGATAATTACTTAGATTTTTATAAGATGTGCAGCAGCTTCTGTCAGTATCAATAAAAATGAAATTAATACAAATTCTAGAGCAAAATTGAGACAATGTCCTATGTGCCAGGTAGAATGTTGCCCAGCATATACAGTGGGTGATCGGTTAACGAACATAATCCGTTTCCAGGCTTTGTTCGCTATCCGAATTGTTCGTTAACCGATTATCGATTTACCATAGGTTTTAATGGAAATTTAATTAATTTGTTCTGGAGACTCCTCAAAATAAAAAATATATACTTTCTTACTACATTTATTTATATATAATAATAAAAATACACACGTACACAGTCTTGTGTTTTTATTAGTCATGTTTTTTCAGTTTGAAAGGGTTAAAGAATCTGTTTAATGTCGATTGCTTTTCTCTCTTCTTTAGGATTTTTCATAAGTAATTAATAGCATTGCAATTGTAGAAATCCCCAAGCCTCAACCTGGTTTGTATGCCATTCTAAGACCGTTGTTCTGACATCCTCACACTTCTTCAAAGGATCTTTAATAACAGATATCGGCATTAATCCTCTTTTTCAGAAGAAAACATATCTCGCCGAGTTTCTTGGTGTTCTTCATTCAAGAGTTCTTGGCGTTCTTCTGTCGTCAGATCCGTTTCAGGTTCCATTATGAACTCTTCGATGTTCTTTATTTCTCAGATGTGATTTTTGTTACTCCTTTAGCTGCTTGAGTCTTCTTGATTATACAGTATTTTTCTTAAATAAGATTGAACTGCGGCCTACTGTAGACCTGTTCACGCCATACTGCCCAGAAACATTAGGCATCTTCTGCCCACTCTCTACTTTGCTATTATACTCTGACCTTTCAAAAAAAAAAACAGACGCAAAACTTAACGAGTGCCTACCCGACAGTCTCACGAATACATAAAAGAATTATTTTCTCATAAAAATAAAATGCTGGAATTATAAGGGGGAGTTTTAAAGTTTGGAGGAATACTATCCGATCGGTATATACCGGCTTGAGTATAGATTTCGACGTCTCCCACACTCTGAAAAGTTTCGAATTGTTGCCCGAAGACAAGGAATGTCCAATCGGTATTCGTTATTTTACGTTGCTTCTTCTTGTGTTTGTTCTGTGGGGTGTTCGTTATCCGATCATGTGTTCGTTGTCCGAACATAAAAATCTTTCGCAAAAGTGTTCGTTATCCGATCTGTTCGTTAACCGATCACCCACTGTATATTAAGCCAGGAGAAGTAGGTTTCCTTACATTTTTCACTTATGTTCTGGAAAGTGTACTTGCAGTTTTATGACTATCAAAAACAAAACTGAAATTTTGTGTTTCATTTTTGCTTTATTTCTTTTATAACATACTTTGATTTTATTTTTTAGGAAGCTTTGTAGCTTGATTGCATGACCACAGCAGGTTTTTGTGGCAGATAACTGATGCTTCTGATTGGAAATGGTTGTTTGAATAACTGTCCTGATAACAAATTGTAGTTGATTTTTTTATATAAATTAGTCGCTTTTATTTATATTGGATGAAACTGGTTAATTTTTAGTTTTGACATTACTATGCAAAATCAGTATGATTCCATAAATTGCACAATTTTTTTTAAATATTTGCATAAATGCAAAAAATTTTCGACATTATAAAAAGTATACTGATATCATACTAATATATACAGTAAAACCTGTTTAAAATGGAACCTTAATAAAATAGAAACTTAAGAGGAAAGAATTCTTCAGTACAGATCAGTTTTCTGTGTTAAAGAAAACCTGTTCAAAACAGAATCTGCCAAACTGGAAAAAACATTCAGTACCATGCAAGTCAGGTTAACACAGGTTTTACTGTACTACATCATTATAAAATGTGTAAAATTACAAATAAACGTTACTTGCATTTGATAATGAAACCAGTTTTAGTTGTTTTATTTTGATAGTAGGCAAGTATAAATAATTTTTTATTTGTATTTTTGGTTTGTTGCATCTGTTTCAGATAAAGCCCATTAGAATAAGTCTAATTAACCAGAAAATTATATTTCCAATGGAAATTATATTTTAGATTTACTTTTGATAAAAAAAAATAATAATTGGGCATATAAGTAAGCTTGTTTTTCACTATATTTATAAAAATGTGGAAATAAATATGAAATTTTAAGATGAATGTTGGTGCTTTGAAAGCAATTCTAACTTGTCACATGCCATGAATCTCCTTCTGACTGGTTAATTGCTACAGTTCACTCACTAGCAAACAGTATTGCTTGCTAACTTATTGTTCTTTGTAAATATAGATCGTTTTGTGGATGAATAAATTCAAAGTCTAGGCATTTGATATGATTATAAATATGTTTTAAACTCATAATTATAATAGAAATTTCGACTTTATGACATTAAATTTTCAGTAATCTTTTCTCAATTTTTTACAATTGTTCAGTTTCTTAGTAGTTAAATTATGGTGCCATCATAACAACTTTATAATTTTTAAAATGTTTAAATTTTTATTACTAAATAGTAAAAAACAAAATGTTGTATATAATTTAGTAAAAATATCTCAAAAAAATCTGTAATTTTTTTTTTACAGTTTTGTATATTAAATACAACCAACCCCATAATTACTTCAAATATCAAATGAACAGCCAGATTACTTTATTGTGCTGTTAAGATTAAATAATTACTAAGTAATTTGGCTGGAAGGCTATTGTCTTTTATTAAATTTAATAATTATAAATAAATAAATAAAATTTAATTTTAGAATATTTTGAAGGAAAGGTCACCTGGGGTAGGGCTCAGATCCACAACTCCTGCTTTCTGTACAGATGTATTACCAGTTATGCTACCTGAATCTACATCTGCAACGTTTCTGCATAGTAAACAGGAGTTGTGTATCCGAATCTGCTCTGGGCCCATCTTTTCTTTCAGAATATTCTAAAATTAAATTAATTTATTTATAATTATTAAATTTAACAAGAGATGGCAGCCTAACTGCCTACTTCCTGCCAAATTACTTAGTAATTATTTCATCTTAATAGCCCAATAAATCTGGATGTTTGTTTGATATTACAAATTTGTATATATGAAGGAGTGAGTGAAAAAATGGCTAAATCTCAAAAAATTTTTGTTAGTTCACAGATGTATCATTTACTGCCAGTTGTCTATTTATTTTGCTAGAGTTTTTTCACTCTAGCAAAATAATATTGCCATGTGTTAAAATTTGCATTACAGTATATAGCATAAACCATATGTTATTTAATGTTTCCAATGAACTGGTGTCTTAGAACTTAATTGCCAAATCTTATATTTTTAATATTAAATGATTGCAATCACAGAAAAATTTTTATTAATGATGAATTAATGTTTTAACTTAAAGTGATTTTTAAATTTAAGGTCTGTAAAGAAATTATACATACACTTGAAATTCATGTATAATTTCACATAATGTTTATTTATACCAATTTCAAAATTAATAAGCTCATTATTATAAATACAGCACAAATACATCATATTCAAAAATAAAAATATTCAAATTTCTGAGTGATGATTTAATATAAAATTGCAACTAAATCTGCTGTAAATATACTTATACATACAATAGTAAATTTACCCTTTTACATAAAGGTTTAATAATTAATATAATATCCTTTCTTTTGAATTAGTTTGTAAATCTTCTTAGGCATTGATTCTGAAAGTGCTACAATTCATGTAAGTTTATTTTATCCCAACAAATTGCAACTGTCAACTCACCAGCTGTGTATTGTGTATTGTTTGTCGCTACATTACACTCACTGTACCCAACACATTGTTCATATATTGTTTTCATGTGGCTTGCTGCTCACATATTCAGATTCATCACATTTATTAAAAATAAAATAGTTTAGAAAGTTATACATAAATATATAAATATATATATATAAATTAATTAATTTTTATTAGTGGCCATTTAGGTCCTACATCTCTTTCAGCCCAAGTGAGACACCTAACAATTGGCTGGCCTTGAATGATGTGCACTTGACACCTACCATCTCTCTCCTTCCCCTTTAATGCAGCAAGTTATCATTGGCTGCGAGAGCAGTGTATATATAGTTTTGATAGTGGTTGTATGTTTTTATTTTCGTACTATTTAACACGTTTCTATAGTTACACGGAGCGAACTTTGAATTTGTGTACGAACTGATGGATGGTTTTCACCAGGAATAAAAATATGTTTGATTTATTTTAAGGGTTAATATTATATACTGACAATTATATTTATCCTATAGTTATCCTAATTATGTCTAAATATGAGCTGGAGAAAAAGAAAAAAATGGACATACACTTACAGTTCTCAAGAAGATTGGGAAGAGAAATATTTTTTTATTTTAACAACAAATGTATTTGTTTGATTTGCTGTTCAACAGTTGCTATTGGAAGAAAGTGATATGTAGAATGACATTTTATAAAAAATATGACACTGAATATCCTATTAACAGTAGTTTAAGAAAATCTGAAGTGAAAGAATTGAAAACCACATTAGTTGTCCAACAATCTATATTTATTAAGTTTGTGACTAAATCAAGAGCTGCTACAATTGCTTCATTTAAGATTGCACATATACTTGCAATGCACAAAAAACCCTTTGACAACTGCAACATAATTAAAGAATCAATACTTGCTGCATCAGAAACATTATTTTAAGAACTTAAAAATAAGAAGGAAATTGTATCAGCTATTGAAGATGTTTAGTTATCAAGAAATTCAATCACTCATAGAATAGAAGCAATGTCTGAAAATATAAAATTACAAAAAAAAAAACACATTTTTCTAAGTTTACAATGTGATGAATCAACAGACATCTGCAATATTGCTCAAATAAATATTTTTATAAAGATGGTCTTTAACAATTGCTCAGTAAAAGAAGACATACTCTCAGTTTTGCCACTACAAGGAAATACACGTGGAAAGGACATATACCAAGTTATTGAAAACTAATTTAAAGAAATTTGCCCCTTCAAAAACTTGTGTCCATAACAAC